TGGCCCTTCATTCTATCAGGTATTCCCAGGAAAAGGAGGGACACTAAAAATCTTCTCCATCTTTGAGGGTGGGAAAAGAAGGACACAGATGTAGGAATCCAAATGAATGATGGCATGACAGTGCCTCTGTAGATGTTGCCAGCTGAAGGGCTTAGAGAAAAGAAGACACAACAAAGAGAATTCAGGGCTGATGGTCACTCAAGGTCACTCTCCTCCACTCACTTCTCCCCAAGTTTCCACAGAATACTTTCACAACCACTAATGAAATCTAATTTTAAATACCATGGAGATGGAAAAGACTAGTTATTATTTCACTGTGTGTAATCAGAACCTTCAAAAAAAAAAAAAAAAAAAAAAAAAAAAAAAAAAAAAGAAAAAGAAAAAGAAGCCCAGCAGGGTTGGGAAACCAACAAGATACCATCTGTCAGAAGTCTTAGGACTACAAAACATTAATGATATGAAATCTACTTCCTGCCTAACAGAACTGGTACAAATTCATAGAGTGCCATCCATAAAATTAGCTCATTCTCACAATTGGGTTGGAACATTTTTTTTCTTTCCTGAAACACATCCAGTTTAATTTAAACACTCATGTGCACAAGAATAGATTTGTAGCTTCTGTGGTATGTAGACATGGTCACAAAGGAATTGAGGCATTTTGAAGAGGTAAAAAGTACTCCTTTACCCAAAACTGTATAAAAGAGAGAACTGGTGTTGCTAGGGATATTACAGTTACATCTCATTTAATTTGTTATACTGGGTGAATGGAAGAAGGGAAGGAGAGAGGAAAAGAAAGAAAAAGGAAGGAAAATGAAAAAAGGGGAAAATCAGTCTAATGTCCAAAGGAAATAGACAGAGGGTTTTTTCAGCATTTTCTGAGTACAAAAATCAGTGCGTGACAAGGGTTTACAAAGTTCAAAAAAGACACAGTGAACATGCAAATTCCATACAAGCATGGTATTGGTTTTTGTCCTTTTCATCCTTCAAATCATGCAGGGCCATAACTTGTGCAGCTGGGTATAATGAAATTTGTAAACCTATGACTTACAATAAGAAATTTACAATTAGCATATTTTACTCTCCATAACACTAAGTTAAAGAGTTTGATAATACTTCAGTAAAAAATACAATTATTCTTTCATAAACTATCTTCTAAAAAGATATGTTAAAACATTAAACATTGCAGTGCATCTTCTGGTCTGACATCTACCTGCTCTATTTACCTACAAGCTGGATTGTGGGGAGTCATGTTTCATTTTAGTAGTTGAGATAATCAGTGTAATCAGATAGTCTAATACGTATAAAATCATGTAATGGTACCATTAGTTTCACATACCATGATAAATATGGTACCAATCAGAAAGTTTTTCTGAACCTTACCTTTGTGATTTCAATTAAAGGAAGGAAAAAACACAAAACAAAACAAAAATAGAAATCTGTTGAATAATACATATTTTCTCCAAATGATTTTTCCATATTTGCTGCCAAAATAAACACATGGTACACGTTAGTCTGTCGGGTCTGCATTAATTTGTCGGCTGTAGGAACTGCCGTGATCCATTTGCCAAAACCTGCTGCACTAAATCCCACTGTTTTTAAATTCTAACTCCAAACATCCTTTTAGGATTGCAAAGGATTTTAAGTGCAACTTACATATATAGCATTTCTAAAATGATTCTCCGCACATCTTGAAAGTCTTGGCAAGAAGCAATATAACCAGTCTGGTCACAAGTTGATTTTCAGTTCCTTTTCTATCTAATTGCACAAGTTTTAAAATAGTGTCACTGTCATCTGTGACACAGAAGGCAAGGATGTGCTAAAGTGGTTTGAATCACTTCTTCCGATCTGTGCAAGTAGTCCAGAGACCAGCTGTGACTTGACACAGTAAAGGATGTGGGATCCTGAGATTTCACTGCTTTCTATGGAAAAGGAGATCTCATCATAGTCTCTTAATATGCAAGTGGAATTTTTGACATTCTTTAAGCATACCTAGTTTTTTTTAAGGATCCTTGATGGTGTCATCCAACTCATAGTTTCTTTACTAGGTTATGTTATGATGGGAATCCTCAATGTCACTCTAAAGCAATCCACAGGAAATTAAAGAGAAACTCACTGGCTGTCCACCAATGCAAAAAATTTAGTCTTTGTGCATGTGTGTTGTGAGAACAATTTATACCAAATTCCTGGGTTAAAAAATGGTTCCTTTTTTATGATTGACACCATCAGTTTACATCTTTGCAGCAAGTGGAATCAATAAGGAGAAAATAAGGAATGTGAAGATTATTCTCATTCAGGATAGTCAGCAAACATATTTCAGCATTTTTTCTCACCTTCACTCTGAAAATTAATTTTCAGTTAGAACCCTTTTAAACATGCATATAAAGAGCGCTGAGACACATTTCATTACTTCCTTTCAAATATTATTTTACCTCTGCATAATATTGACAAACATTTGAAACCATTTCTGCATTTAATTAATTTACTCAGATCCTTGGTGAATTACAGGTTGTTTTATCTCGCTATATTTTCACCTGGAAGTCTTTGGTCGCACATTATTAAAAATGTAAGTAAGACATCCTCGATGGCTGAGAAGATTGAAACTATTGGGCTTTTCTATAGTCTTTTGCTGTAGAGGTGACCTAAATAATTTCACATAGCTCCTAGCTCAGGATAGAAGCCTACAATAGACTATAATTTTCCTTGATTTGTTTGCCATTATGCCTGAAATTTGTGCAAGGCACTGAACATCTCTTGTGCCCAACACTCTCTACCTGATGAATAAGGAGTATCTTCTAGACTTTTGTTTCCATTCATGTTGGGTGGTCTTCTCAGAATGAGTGATTTTCAGATGAACCACAACCAAAAAATGAAAATATCCTTCAACAGCATGTTTCTCCTCATTTTCCTAAAATATTTTTTATCCTGTTTGTAATTATCATATTAATTTACAAAATCTTTTCCAGAAACAGACAGAATAGACTATGAAAACACAAATACATATATAGATGATACAGATACAGATATAAAGTGAGTCAATTTTAGGAAATATTAAAAGCCATAGAAAAATGCAGATGGGAAATATGTGCTGAGAATGGAGCAGGACAAAGTCTTCGCAGGGAAGTCTGGGCCATGAACCATAGAGTCTTCAGAGTATCTCAAAATTTGGATGGCATACAGACACCGAGGGTAAGACCCTGGCTAGATCTCAGCCAGTAGTACGACGCCCATTCGCGTCAGTGCGGTCGTGATTTGATCCACAATGCATGACAGAGACTGCCAGCTCTTCTGCGCTCCCGGGAAGAAGAAAGGGGCACCACTGTAGGGAAGGCTGTGCTTATTTATCCATCCTTTCCAACACACCACTTTACACCTACCCTAAGTGATGCTCAGCTCTCACATTCAAGAACATTCCAATCTTTGAGACTCTTCTCAGGACAACTGCATTTGGTTTTGGTGCATGTGGAAATCTGTGCTGTTACACAGTTTCCAAAGTCTGTATGTGTCGCCGGCTAGCCACAGAAGATGTGGATTCCAGCATTTCCTGTGACATTTAGGAGGAAATTCAGGCCAGCTCTGCATGGTTTTCAAAATCCCAGTCTTCACATAAAAGTTGTTTTGGGGGAAGGAGAGGAACGCTTGAGTGTCACAAGCACAACCAGTTTCTCAAGATGTTGTTCTGCTCCCTGCAGTTGGCCAAGACAGAAAACTTCTAAATTGCTATCTTCACCACAGGCACACATAAACTTTACTGGTTCAGAGGAAATAGCAAACCATGCCTGTGTTTCAGAGATTAAGCCAAACTTTTTGTTCCGTCTCTAAACAGAACATGATTTTGTTTCATAGCCCCTTTTTTATACTTTTATGTTTTCCTCCTGGAACTTGTGCTTCCCTGTGAATTGAGCAGCCAGCTCCCATATAAGGCCAAATGTGCTTTACGACTCACAGTCTGTCTTCAGTGTTGACAAAACTTGCCCTATTTCAACTTCATCTTCAAGATGATAAAATTTGATTCAGGGACCAGAGGTTTTTCTGAGATCATAAGTGGTCAGTAATGTTCAGAGAAATCTCAGGGAAAGAAGGCCATCTAGCCTTGGGGACAAAGGAATGAGATCTTGCCTTGGGCAGCCCTGAGGTGCCCCAGTGATGTTTGCAGAATATGGGACAGTAAGGGTGGTAGCTGGGCCCCCTGGCAAAACACATAGAAGGGGTTTAGGGATATATTCCACTGAGTAACAAAGGGGCAAAGGATTTAGTGGTGTTGTGCACAGGTAAGACTGTTTCAAATGCAGTGGTTAATCTCCATACTTTGGGTGGGTGACCTTGCAGAAACATATTTTAACAACCCCAAAAGATAATTGTTTCACAGATCTACAGGTTTTTCTCCTGTTTAAACCATGTTTTCAAATTCAAAATGTCTAAAAATCATACTGCAAACCTGTACACCTGCAATTCAAATACAAACCCAAATACAACCCTTGTTCAGCTCCATCAAGGCCTCCACTGCAATGTCTTTCAGCTGATGCTAAACGTTTCCTACTTACCAGATTCTTCAATACTATGTAACATTCTGCTTGCAAGTGGGCACCCACTTATTCATTTAGCATTTGGAGCCATGCTATGACTCAATTTAGTGCTGTTTGATAAGGCTTAGAGGGTCATAGGAAAATTGTACTTGTATGCTACCACTTCTGCATATGGTTACAGCAAAGAAACTGAGAAAAACAGCTTGGAGAAATATGTTGCATGCTTTGGTAGAACATTAAACCATGATTAATCAAGTATAATATTTTCTTTAACTGGTAATAGGTGGAAAAAAGCATGTTCTTTAAAGGGCTGGATCCAGGACTGTCCTGTCAGTTACTATTTAGGTGTCCTGAGGGCTGCTTTGCAGTTAGTCACAACTTCAGATTCAAGATTTCTTATTGCAATTGTGTTATTTCTTATTGTAATAATTGTATTTTTAGCTTCCACAGGTGAGGACCGAAGGCTGCCTACTCTTGCACTTTGAAAGAAGAGATGGAGTAAATGTAGGCTGTGTAGCTGGAAATACAGTCTGAAAGACAGACACTGATGCCATTTCTGCCATACATAGTGGGAAGGATGGAGGTACCAACTACTGGTTTGAGAGGTTTGTTTCTGTGTTTGTCTGTTGTGTAAGAGAAATAGAAATCTCCACAGCTGGTATCCACTAGAGTCCCACTAGTGTTCTCCACCACTCCAAGGACTGGCACCAGGATGGAGCCAGAGCTCAACACATTCAGAGCTGGGAACAGCTGCCCCTTACAGTTCTGCCCTAACCACAGCTGTTACCTCTCCCCAGCTGGGCAGTGGTTTGTGAAGAAAAAGCACAAGGAAAACAGCTGGTGAGCAGTGGGAAAGTTAAGTGCCCAGGCAGGGATCAAGGGGCACACAAGGGAAAAAAAAACACCATGTCCTAAGCAGCATCTTTCTACCAGCAGAGAACTAGAGACAAGAGAAGGGACACATGACTGATGGGATCCCCATCAGTGGTGAGTCTAATTCTATCCATCATTTTCTTCAGGTTTCTCACTTGGAAACACAGGAGTAGCCCAAGAAATGCCTCAGAACACAAGAAAAAGGACATGGATGCTTTGAGAAGGAAAAAAAAAAAAAAAATTAATAGCGCAGATTTTTTTAAAAACAACAAAGTAACACACCAAGAGCCTCACTTTGATCAAAAAATGAACAGGTGCATTAAATAGTTAGTTATTATAAACAAAAAGAGATTGGATTTACTCTGTCTAGGTTTAATATCTGTAACACTTCAAACTCAGCGGTTTAGCATAGCCCACTTGGCCTAAGACTTAAATGCCTTTCAAGGAGAGGATCAAGGAATAAATGCATAAAGTCATACAGTGTGTTGAAGATTTACCATTATTTTCAGTGTGCCCTTCTCAAAGGAAAGTTGTCTTGTTCAAAATATATGGGGGGGGAGTTACTCATTGAGCCATAGGAACAGGTACTGGTTTGGGGTAGCACACATTTAGTAACAGTACAATTCCATCCATTTCTAGCCATGTACTAATATGAGGTGATAGTGTATACATTGATTTAATACGTGTAGATGTTGCAAACGTTTTCACAGGTGTATGTTGTTGGATACATGTCTGAGGGAAAAGAAAATGGGCAAGATCAGATTGAGCAGGATATTTGACCAAACTAAATTATCTAGAGCCAGACTAGCTACATTTGGAATTATTATTGACATAAATTCAGTACACTATCCTGAGGAGAAAACATCTTTCATTGTTCAACCACAGAGACTGTAAATCAGACTGCAGCTTTGTTCTCTGTCATGTAAAAAAATCATTGTCTTACCATGAACTGTTACTTAGGAATTTCTTCCAAATAGATTAAGTTCCATTACTGTCTGTGTCATGTTTATAATTTTTTATTAACAGTTAAAATAAGCATATTGATATTAATCAGTTACTTACAACTCTGAAGAATCAATCATCTGCTTTGTAGTTTTATAAGTGTCTTATCCTTCTATATTGGTCTGATTTCTAAATACTGAGGTGACTGACCTCTATTCAAAGTGTGCACTGTTAAATTCATGATCATACATCATGTACTTCTGTTTCCCATTTTTTGTCAGCAAAAGGGCAGTGGAAACACTGGAACCAACTATTAAAATTTCCATCAATCAGTTATGAATATTTTCAAAATTGTCAAATGTTCTACTGAATGTGGTTGTTACAAACTGAGACTGATGTAGAATAATTAAATGAGCATATTCAAACATCATTTTTCTTTCATTCCCTGATTCCAGAATTAAATATGTTTTTGTAAGTTTTTTTATTTGCTTTCAAAGACAGAACTTTTTCTTAACAAGGAACTGAGTTAAAACTATTTCATATACTAGACTATAAAGAAATGACCCTTCATTTTGCTTACAGATCTATAAATTCCTATTTTTTTTTATAAAGGGCAATGATAACGCTATTGAAATTAGACAGAATGAACACAAATCAGATTTCATTTCATACACCAAATGTTTGTGGTAGGAAAATTTAGGGAGAAGACAAACAAAACCAGGAAGCAGATAAAATTTCCTGTTTGGTGCAGAGAAGCAATTGGTCTTTAGCTGCATATTTCTGAGACAAATATTTAGTAAAATAAAGTCTCTGAAAAAAATTGGGAGCTTATTGCTGAAATCAGCTATGAATTTTTGTCTTGCTTCTTGACATGGCCGAACTGTGTTGTTCTTTTCTGCATGACAGGAATTTTTCTGCCTTGAACTGCCAGAACTTTTCATCAAAAAAAAAAAAAAAAGAAAAATTCCTCAAATTAATTCTTCAAAAATATATATTGGACTATCAGGCAAAGTAATCTCACCAAGCAATAACACTTTGTTAACAGAAGGGTATAAATGATTGCAGACCAAGCTAAGTGAATGCATATTTTACATGTACAACTTAAATATATGTTGTATGAGAATATATAGGAAGGAAATGTTTCATTTTTTTCAAAGAAGGTTTTAATTTACTATCTGTGTATTTTAAACTAGGCATGCTATCTCTTTTAGTGGATTACTATATTCTGTGTGCCTGATACAAAATGGGACACTGGAATCTAAAATTTAAATTAGGCAAGAAAATAGTGCCTTGGTCTATGTAGGTAAACAACAACCCTTTCTTGCCCAAGGAGGTCTGCAGAGGCATGAGAAGCTCTTGGGGATGGTGCTGTGCAGGGCTAGGAGCTGGACTCAATGATCCTTGTGAGTGCCTTCCAAATCAGCTCATTCTGTGATTTTGTACAATGCTGTGATTAGACATATCTCCTATTCCAAGGCTGCTGTGCTTTCATGGGAAAAGCATTTAGCCTGAATTTCTGATGTCTTAGCTAATGCTTGACCATTGGAGTATTATCACAAAAGTGGTGACAACATCGTCTCCCTTCTTTATCTAAGTGCAGTTTCCTTCTCCAAAGTGATAATCAACAGGAACAACTGCTCCAGTGACTTGTTAGAGGTACCATCACTGAAAGTTTTTGAGATTAAGCTGGACAAGGTGCTACATAATCTTATCTAGGCTTTCTTTCCTATAAAAAGTGGGACCAGATGATTTTTTGAGGTGCCTCACAAGCTGGGCTGTTCTATGATTCTATGAACCCTCTCATTTCCACTGAGGTGCCTAACTCAGAATTACAAGTCATTACTTAGGCATGCCCAGGAACACATCCCTATTAATTAGCTTCAGCTGTTTGCTGCCTGTAATGAATCTCATTGTTAAGGAATATTCAGGGTGTGGAGTGCAGCTCCATCTGAGCTGCAGTCCTACCTCCAGAAGATCTTTAATCTCCAATGTGTCCCTGCTGGTGAGGAACAACCTGCTGTGCCCATGTGCAGTGATAAGTGAGATCATAAGACCTCCACTTTATTTTTAATATATTAAGCCTCATATCATTACTCGCCATTCTTTGACTCATTTTTTGCTATGACTTCAGAACCTATTTGCAGGGCCCTCTCCTTCATCATTCAGGTACCTACATCTCACTGCCTTCAAATGTATTGTCTAAATTAGGCTAGACAACTCTGTGGAAAGACTTACATGTACAGGCTATAGAAAAAACCCAGTATTCCATCAGAAATTGCATCACATGTTTTTAAAATATCAGATTTGCAGGGGAGGAGAGTGATGGACACGGTTTGGGGGGAATTGCTGCTGTTTAATGTTATTCTTACCATCCTCTCAGCTTTTACTGGAAGGTTCCTAAAATATTTTATTGAGGCAAGCATGCTAATGAGTCTATAGCTGTACAGAAGACAGAAGGTGGATCTTTTGTCGTGTCATGTTGGCACAAAAGCCTTAGCTATGACAGTGCAGATAAAGCAACCTTAAAGGCAGGCATTTTGCTTGACCCTTTAACTAAGATGAGGTCTGTCATTCGTAAATCTTTTTCATCTGCTCAAAAGATCAGTCATGTTGCAAATGAAGATGTGTTTATAACACAAATGCCCAAGGCTGGACCTCATTTAAATTAATTCTGACCTGAAATGAAAACCATTCAGAGTTTTGATTTCAGCTGATAAAACTGGGCTTTGACTTTTAATTGCCATCTTAGATACTGAGGTGGAAATGTGGATTCAGGATGACTCTTACAACTGCTCTTAAATATCACTTTAGAAAGCCAGCTTCCCAAAAGGAAAGTCCCAGCATATTAAGGAGGAATTGCTCAAGACTTCCAGAATGAAACTGTGAAACATTAAACATGTGCAAATTCATTCCATATCCTGAACTCCTGGAGTCTCAGAACAGACTAAAATTAGCATAACATTTCTAAGGTATGACCTCTGTTAAATGCTTCCCAGACATTTCTCCACTGGAAAACTTCTACAGTAAGCAGAAGCAAATGGAGAAAAGCAAACAGGATTTGAGCATCCAAGTCCTTTAGGCATCTTTGGATATCCTAACTGTGATGAAAACATTTTTCAGAACAAACAGGTTCTATGAAATACATGTGCACAATGTGTATTTGTATGTGTAGGATGTAATGAAGCAGACCAATGCTAATTGCATTACTTCCCTTTTCCTGACTGGATTTTATTCTAGTTAAAGGAAACACAGATTAGGTGTACCATGTACCATTAACCTTCAACTAAATAAAATGCACCAAAGTGAAATATAATAGTTTGTTTGCATGAATGATAGTTATGAGATAATTTTAGAAAAAAAAGACACTAAGAAATATTTAATAAATATGCAAGTGTCAACTTCCAAAATTGCCCTTAGAAAAAATTTTAAAGAAAGGCTCCTGTACTACAGGCAGCAGTTGCAGAACTTAAACTTTTTGTGTATGACTGTAGCAGTTATCTCCCATATCATCAGGTTATATATTGTCTTGCAATATCCAGGAATGGTAACTCAGATCCTCCAATCTTTTTGCTCTTTACTTTGTTTGACTATCTATAAAACATGAAGATTTTTAATTTCAAGGCAATAAGTGAAACCAGACAATTATTTGTTAACAACATCCAGCTGGGAAGCACTTTGATGGCAGAAAGCAAACCTTTTTTAATATACGTGTGGCCAGATTCTTTTCACATTAATCGAGATTGCTCTTCTCTAGGACTCCCCCAGAACACACAGTAAAATACACTTTTCATTTAAGAGCTCAACATGCCAACATGTCTTGAAGCACACTTCCACAAATTCACAACACACTGGGCAGCTCTCGTCTAAGTCACACAACTCCCACTCAACCCTAAAATTACAACCTTTTGTTGTTGGAGTGTGCAAAGGGTGAAACTGGAGCAGGGATCTATTCCTCCATGGATCTGTACTGCTGGAGATACCAGATACTCCAAATGTTGTCTGCTGCTGGTTTTTGTGAGATGTCAGACAATTTTTCATCCTCCAAAGGAGTAAATGTACTGTGGGAAAACTTACTAAACTGTAAGTTTAGTAAGAAAGATTATGAAATATGTGCAAACTGATCTCGTTTATATATCAGGATGAATTCTACCACCAGCATGCTGACATCATTCTGCTCAGAATGAGAACTGGTTTGTCCTCAATGGAAAGCTAATTTTTTTTCTTAATTGGAGTATATTGCTATGTTGACACTAGTGAATCAAATGTTCCTTGAACTTTT